AGAAGGAGAGGAACAGGAGGAGGGTGAAGAGGGCGAGGCCGACGACGGTGGCGAACATGAAGATGACGGGGAAGACCGCAGCTCCTGACTGTCATCGGTGCCGTTGCATGATACACTGGAGTGAAGGCAAGGGAAGAGTCAGAACGTGGAGCATCTTAACAGAGGGCGAAAAGGCAGATTGGGCGGGGGGGGGTGAAGTGTACTAGTTGATGGGCTGAAAGGTGTAGCCCATTTCAACCAGGAGGCGCTCCTTGTCCGTCACGATGCCGATTTGGTCTCCGCTGTGAAGCAGCATTTTCTTGCTCTTGGTCAGCCGCTTGCCGTTGATGAACGTGCCGTTGCCTGAACCGAACGTGCCGAGCAGGTTTAGCGCCTCGAGTACGGATTCGCATACGCTGCGCAATTGGCCAATTGAAGACAAGCGAGGAATGGGGGAGGAGTACCGCTGGTGTCAACGATCCAGTACTGCCGAACCTCGTTCGAGTCATTGAGTGTGCGCGCCGCGCTGCAATGAATCTCGAAATGGGATCGGCTGATCCTGACGAGCAGATCCGTTGGCAGGTGCTCCATCATCATGCGGCCGAGTACGAACGGCTTGTCGGGGTGCCACTGCCGATACAGCGTCCGAATGCCTGCAATGCGAGGAAGTAAGCGCCCGTGAGAAGAACGAGACAGATGAATCAAAAAAATGTTAGGTAGACGGCAGAGCACACGGAGATGTGCGTACCTTGACAGCCCTTCATCTGGAAGATCTCATCCCGGGCGAAGAGAAGCAGTTTGTACGCGAACATGCACTCCTCCGAGTCGTCCTCATCCATCACCACGTGGTGGGAATCGGGCGCCAAGGCGAACTTGGCTTTGGCCAGGGAGGCCAGAGGCGGTCCCATCAACCTGCCAACAACGGGAATCAATTAATTGATGGCCACAGATGAGTTCAAGCTGAAGCAATAGATAAATAAAGAAAGTAAAAATGATAACGAGAACAGCACCTCTTATCGAGATCTTCAGTTCTGGGCTTCTTGTTGACCGGCTCCTTCTCCGAAGCACGACGCTCCTGTTCGTCGCCTGTTCCAAGCAGGGGCGTAGGTGCGAGAAGGGACGAGTCAGTCTCTGTGGTGGGCTTGTGCATTCAGTAATCACTGGACGAACCTCGAGGGGCTGGTCGTTTTACTCGCTGCGTTTGTTGCTGTTGCTGCTGCTGCTGTCGCCGTTGTCCGTGCTGTTCCACAAGCTGCTGATAGCTATCTAGCACGCTCAGTTGGCCGGTGAAGGTGGCCAGCTCGTAAATATCTACATCCCCGTCGTTATTTCTGCGTGTGGTAGAGGTATTCGTAAGTGACAGTCAGCTTCATGATGCCACGTCAGCGTCGTCAAGAGCGCTGTACCGGTCCAATCGCTGTCGCAGCAGTTCAATATTAGAGTCTCGTTGTGCTTCAAACTCGTGTTCGAAAGCTGCCCGGAACTGGTCCCATGTTACCTTGAAAGTCTGATAGGGCAGGGTGAGACGTGATGGAGAAAGAGAAAGCCACAAGACGGCGAAGCAAGACGAAGAAAGAAGCGAACCTTCGGTCCAAAGTGGTGCGCCCAAAAGCGCTTGGTTTCCTCGTTCTTCACTAGTCGCATTGCATTGAACTCTTGGTCCGCACCGGCTCCACCCTGCATCCGGAAACCAAGGCCCAAACGCGTTACAGACGCAAGACACAGGATAGCGCACGAGCGTGCGGAGTGGAGGGGCGGAGGAGGAGGAAAAGCTTAGGGCGGTACCTTGTTCTTGTTCTGTTGACTGGTGGTGATGGCAAGCGAAAGGATCGGGCAGAGTGTCTTGAGCTTCTCCTGGTGGCCCTTGAGCTCTGACAGATCGGTGCTTGATCGAAACCTGCCCGCCCAGATAGGAGAAAGAGAGAGGACTAAGAAGATGCAAAACAACAGCATGAAACAACGGGCCGTGTAAGAAGGTGGTGCGAGAGTGAACCATGACATAACTCGCTGCGAGATGGTCGTGGCCGTGGCCACCTTCTCCAAGGCAGTCTTGGCATTGACCATGCTGGTACGCGAGACAGAGCAGGGCGAAATGAGAAGGGGCAAGCACGCAGAAGTCTAAGGCTGAGAGTAAGAGAGAGAAGGCTAGAGGGAGGCACCTGAGTTGCAGGGCTCTAAGCACATCCTTGAGGTGCGGATCGTCGTTTCCAGAGGAGCCCAGAGGTCGAATAGCTGTTTCTATCAGGAGAATAGTCTCCCCTTTTGAAGCAAAAAGTGATTTGGATAAGACGCAAATTAAAAACGAGTACATGGCAGTCCATCTCGAGAGCTAATTGCCGTTACGAGATTGGGGCTTGAGCTTACCGAGATCCGATACTTCGTTGGATATTTCGGCATGACTCTGAACCAACTCCTTTACGTTGGATATGGTCAGCAAGAGTGGTTCCACCAGCTCCATGCAGATCGAATGTAGCCTCTGTTCGATCGATTGATTTTTGATTTGATTGAACTCTTTCTGACGTTAAGAAGGCAGTCGTTACGTTTGGCTTTTCTTCGAACACTTTCGTGGGGGTGAACTGAAACAGAAAATCGATATGCAACAAAAGAAAATACTGGGGGCTGGCGAGAA